GTCTCCTTTGGTCAATCCATAAGTAAAGTAACGCATTTGCCCTGTGACGGTATTGCAACGGACTTCCTATAGGATGGGTTGTTCTTAGCCTCCCTGATCATTCACCTAGGACATCAAATTCTTCACCAGATGATCTCCTTCCTCCATCACTCTTCGTCGCACCTCTCGTGTTCCTCGACCTCTAGATAGGTATGGTTTCTCTTCCCATAGCTCTATGTATGCTACCTTTAACTCAATTTCAATTCCTACCTCTTATAGACAGGCTATTAAATAAGAGTGTTGACAACAGGCAATGAATGCAGAACTTGAGACTCTTGAAACCAATCAAGCTTGGGATATTGTACCATATCCACCGACTGTGAAACACATTAGGAGTAAATGTGTATATTGCTCAAACTTCGTTCTAATGGTTCTCTTGACCGCTATAAGGTTCAGTTAGTTGCCTTGGGTAACCGTCAAGAGTATGTAATCGACTATGATGAGACATTTTCTCTCGTGGCTAAAATGACCACCGTTTGCCTCTTGCTATCTCTTGCTGCTTCTCAGTTTTGGTATTTTCATCAAATGGATGTAAAGATCGTTTTTTACATGGAGACCTCAATGAAGACATTTACATGAAACTTCCTTCTGGTATGCCACTTCCCTCCTCTAAATCTATATGTAAGCTAAAACGCTCTTTGTATGATCTTAAACAGACACCTCGTGTTTGGTTTGACAAATTTCGTCACACTCTTTTGTACTTTTCCTTTACTCAGAGTCAGTATGACGCATCTCTATTCTTTCACAAAAGTACTAATGGCATCGTCTTTTTGTTGGTATATGTGGATGACATTATTATTTCTAAATCTGACCACAATCTTATTCAAAAACTTCAACAGCATCTTCACTCAGTTTTTCATATGAAAGATCTTGGTCAACTTACTTACTTCTTTGGCTTAAAGGTTCATACAACGTTGCATGGTATCTTCTTAAATCAACATAAGTCTATTCAAGACGTGATTACTAATCACGGGGATGGCAATTCGAACTATTAAAATCGAAAATCATAGTTAACCGAACCGAATGGGGTGAAAAAAATTGAACCGATTGTGCAATGGAGTGATTATGGTTTTGATTTTAATGACCCGGTTCGGGGCGGGCGGGTATGGTATTTAGCGATGGTGCCCCGTCCAGAACCGATTACCCGTTAAAAAAAATAATTGGACAATTGGACTTTCCATTATTCTTTCCCAAAATTAATTGGGCAATTTTGACAATTGGGCTTCCCCAAAATTTTGGTCTAATTAACATTACTAGTAAACCCTTAACTCGGTAACCTAACTCTAACCCTACACGTTAAAATTGAAAATTGGAAACCAAACTTACAAAACACTCGTCCACTCAACTAATGAATCAAATTAGATCCACGGCGCTCTGCTGCAAACTCCCTGAGTTGTTCTGCGTCCATTGACTTCAAACCATCTTCCTTGTACAATTCATGGTAGGATTTATTGTTTTATATTTGTTATTCATGGACTTTCTTTTATTGCTAATTTTTTTCTCTATTATGTGTAGAAAATTCTGCTCTTTCATCATACTCCGGAGCTTGTGCAAGGTTTAGTGAGGAGGACATTGACAAAGAGATTATTTGTTTAAATCTTCAGTTAAGACCATTCTTGATTAGGTAGTATGGTTGTATTATTTCACTCTAATTACATTTCTTATTTACTAGATAGGAATCAACTTTGAGTCTTGACTTTTGACTTATGCAAGTAAGAGTTGTAGGGAAGAATGAAGATTGACCTATGCTGGTAAGAGTCTTGACCTATGTTAATAATATTGATTGTTAAATTCGAATTTGACATTTGGAAGTTGGGATATTGTTTACATTTTCATTTGGGATATTGTTTACTAAATTGGCTTAGTATTGTATTTTTGTTTTTCTGACTTTTCTTCATAATTTTTTTTTTCAATTTGACAGTTGGAGTATGGATTTATAAAAAATAATTTATTTTCTACATAATTTTTTTTTCCAATTTGACAGTTGGAGTTTGGACTTATAAAAAATAATTTATTTTTGTGGTTATTAATCGAACCGACTTACGTGGTTATGGTGCGGTTATGGTATAACCAAAATTAGGTGGTATGGTTATGATTTTGGCTGAATCGACCCCAAACGGAACCGTTGCCACCCCTAGTGATCTGAAGCCTCCTCGATAGATATGCCTATGGAGCTTAATGTTATATATCGAAAAGATGAAGGAGATATTCTTCCTAATCCAACTCCTTATTGGAAGTTGGTAGATAGCCTCATATATCTCACCATCATACGTCCTGATATTTTCTTTGTCATTCATACTGTAAGCAAGTTTATGGATGCCCCTCGTCATCTTCATTTGGTAGTTATTCATCACATTATTCGCTATCTTATTGGGACTCCTCATCGTGGACTCTACTTGCCTCGGGGTTGACTCTTGAGCTCACGGCCTGTAGTGATGATGACTGGACGGGTTGTCCTGATTCTTATCGATCTATTATAGGGTGGTGTATCTTTCTTGGTGACGCTTTCATTTCTTAGAATGTAAGAAACATGAATGTGTTTCTACATCCTCCACTGAGGCTGAATACCGAGCTATGTCTGCTGCATGTTTAGAGGTTGTGTGGTTGCATGGTCTTCTTGCAGAACTTGGTTTCTCTCCATCACAGTCTACGCCTCTCCATGGTGACAACACTAGTGCTATTGAGATTGCGGCCAATCCTGTGTACCATGTGAAGTGTGAACACACCAAACACATTGAAATTGACTGTCATTATATTTAGGAAACCTATGATTCCAAGGTCATAGCTCTTCCGCATGCTTTCACTATTCATCAAGCCGCAGATATCTTCATCAAATTCGTGACTCGCCTCATCATAATTATATAGTCAGGAAATTGATACTTGTGGACTCACCAACATCAATTTGAGGGGTGGGGGAGAATTAGCATATTATTAGAATATTATTTACTTACAGCTAATTAGGTAATTTCCTTGTAAATAATAGCTATTTTCCATGTATATTTTGTAGCCTTAAATATCTTGTAATATTCTACAAAGAAGAGGAAGATAGACGAGAAATTCATTCCGCAAAATTGGCATGCGATTTGTCCTTATCACAAAAATAGTTAAATGTGATGAGTTGTTGATAGATTGTTACAGTAAATGGGGAATGTGGAGTGAGGTTGTTTCTGTGTTTTTAGGTTTTAAAAATGTTGATCTTGCAATCAGTTTGTTTGTGCTGTAATTCTTTGTTGAAGGATGTGTTAAGGTGCAATAGAACGGAGTTATTCAGGAAAGTTTTCGGCGGAATGATGGAGAAAAAAATGGATTTTGATAGATATATTTTTGCTAGTGTGATCAATGCTTATTTCAAGGTTAGCAATGTCTGTGGTTCTATTTGACATGGGAGAGAATGGTTGTGGTCTGAATACAGTTACTTATAATGTGGTTTTCAGAGGGTTGTGTGGCAGAGGGACTATTGATGAAGATTTGGAGTTGAAGAAGACAATGCTTGAGATGGGATTGGCTCCAGATAGCTACACGTATACAAGACTTATTGATAGGTTTTGTAAACAAATGACGTCCAATGAGGTGAAATTGATTTTGGAAGAAATGTATAAAATTGGTCAAAATCCCGACCATGTTGCCTATGCTCCATTGATTGATGGGTTCATGGAAGAGGGATTGTAAACGAGGCTTTCTGAATCAAGGATACAATGGATGCATATGGAATTAAGTTGAATGTAGTGACCTTTAGCACTATTCTACGAGGGCTATGCAAATTTGGTCGCAGGGACGTGCCAGCCTCTGCTACAGCCCATCCCTCCAGCCCAAATCCTAAGTAAAAAAAATTATGTGTAAATTTTATTTATTTTTTCGTTTTAACCCATGTCCAATTTTTTCCTGGATTCACCCCTGTTTGGTCGTATGGGAAGGCAATAGATCTCTTGCACGGGACACCCAAAATGGGAATGCATCCAGAAACCAAGACATTCAATTATTTGATTGAGGGGTATAGTCGACAGAGTAATATGGATAAGGTTTGTGAACTCTTGGTTGAGATGAAAGGAAGAAACTTGGCACCTTCTGCATACACCTTTAGTGTTATAATTAACGAGTTAAGCTGCTCAAGAGATCACCAACAGGCTAATCCTTTTTTTTTTTTTGGGAAAATGATCTCAGAAGGTATCAAACCTAACACTATTATTTACGCTACCATCACAAAAGGTTATGTGCAGGATGGTAAATATGAAGAGGCAATAAAATTTTTAGAGGATATGTGGCAGAAAGGCATCTTGCCTGATTTTTTCTTCTATAATTCAATAATAATTGGCCTTTTGCAAATCTAAAAGGATGGAGGACCCTAGAAATTCTTTTTTTTTATATATAATCATGTGTCCACTTTCGACGACTAATCCAGGGGTCTACGCATCGGCAACTCAAGACGCAAATCAGGTAAATCGCGGGGATGTGCCCCAAATTGGCCAGGGTCCAAGAGCCTTATCTACTGATCTGTCAAGTGCCGAGTGAGTCAACACATGTTGCACCTTACCTTCCAGAAAAACTCAAGCCTTCCAAGAGAGAGCCTGCCTTCTAAGAGCCCTACGAATCGAACTCACAACCTCTGAACTACCAGCAACTAAGAGCCCCGTCCTTTGCCAATTGGGATGTGCCCCGGGGGGCTATAAATTGTCTTATTGAAATGGGAAAGAGGGGATTACCTCCAAATGCCTACACCTTTAGGGCATTGATTTCTGGATATAGTGAGGCAGGGAAAATGTATGTTGCAGAAAGATATTGAGATGCTTGATCAAGGAATAAATCTAATCTTCACATTTATACATCAGTGATTGATGCTTACTGCAAACATGGGCATAAAACACAGACCTTTTCTATGTCCAGCTGCATGTTTGAACAAAGGCTGCTTCCAGATGTGCACCTTTATAGTACACTTATCAAAGAAAGGAAAATTGTTAGAAGCAATGGGAGTTTTCTCTGATTTGTGTGATAAAGGGCTAGTATCTGATGCTTATGCTTATACTTTTCTAATTTCTGGTTTCTGTAAGCAATGTAATATGCTAGAGGCTTTCAGGCTTCATGAGGGTATCGATCCTAACATCGTCACTTATAATGCCTTAATAGGTGGACTATTGAAATCTAGTAAGATAGAGAGAGCTAAAGAACTGTTTGGTGGACTATCCAAGAAAGGTTTGACACTTAATGAGGTGACATATGCTACAATGATAGATGGATGCTGCAAGTCTAGAAATATTGATGAATCGTTCATTTTATTGGAAGAAATGACATCAAAGGGGGTTCTGCCAGATGATTTTGTGTACAATGCTCTTGTCAATGGGTGTCGTAAGATAGGAAACATGGAGAAGGCATAGTCCATATTTAACGGGATGCTAAAGAGGGCACTGAATCTGTACTTATTTTCAATACATTAATTGATGGGTTTTGCAGGTCAGGAAGATTAACTGAAGCAATTGAGTTGGTGAAAGACATGATTGATAAACAAATCATGCCTAATCATGTAACCTTCAAAATTTTAATTGATAAGAATTGCAAGATGGACACGATGAAAGAAGCTAAAGAGCTTCTTCAAGAGATGCAAAGGAGGAATCTCACGACAACAAATGTGACTTACTCATCCCTAATACATGGTTATAACAAAATAGAGGACTGTTTGCCTTATTTGGTGACTTAGTGGCACAGGGTACTGAACTTAGTGAAGTAGTGTACACATTGATAGTTGATGTACGCTTTAAAGAAGGAAATTTGGAGAAAGACTTTAAGGTGTGGGATGAACTTTTGGACAAGGGTATATTAAAAAGAAAGGTAAATAAACTCCTGATAGGGAAATGGTGAAATTTCAGAGATATTCTCATTACTTGATAAAGTGAGAAAGCAAGGATATAAACCAACCTTGCTACATGCAATACCTTGCTTTGTGGTTCGAAACAATCGAGATATGTAGAAAAACTAGCAAAGTTCTAGTTATTACGGTGAAGTTTGGCTGGGTACCAAAATTAACGAGTTTTGATAAGTTGATAAGTCTATCATAAGGGAGATTTAGAGATTAGTGACCTCTTTGAGGAAGCAGCTACAGAAGTTGCTTGTCAGGTCTAAGCCTGATTCGAAAAGAGAAGGAAAATGGAAGCTTCTTTGTGATGCTTCCTTTGGTGGCTTTATGAATCAACTGTCAAATCAAGGTGGCCCGGCTTCTCGTTTCAAGATCTTTCCCATACCGTGAAAACTATCATAATAAAAGTAGATGAATTTCAGGATTGAAATTAAGTTAACATACATTCATCATTCATGAGAAATTAGTTGCATTGAATTCAGGATTGATTTATGTTGCACACTTGCAATTGTAGATTATGGAATGATTTTTTCAACCCAAATAGAAGTTCATACCTATTTCTTCCAGTTCTAGTGGTGCATCAAGTCCCACCACTACTTCTAGTCGAGCAGCCGACGTGTTAGATAACACGAAAAAGTCTCGGGCTCAATTCAATTCGGACGATCTTATATTTGATCCAGGGAAACGCTCCCTATTGAGTCATATGATCCTAATATCAGAGATGATGTTAGGATGACATACTTAGAGAAAGGTCCTTGTCAACCACATGGACATGACTTTCCAAGAAGACAGATGGGAAGTGGTAACACGTGTTTTCGGAAAGAATGGTTCGTTGAATTTGATTGGTTAGAGTACAATGTAGAAAAGGATGCGGTGTATTGTTTGTATTGCTACTTGTTCAAACCGGATAGAGGAGGTCAAGATGGTGGACATGTATTCACTAAGACCTGCTCTAGGGATTGGAAGCACAAAAAGACATTGAAAGATCACATCGATCTCTTTGATAGTGCTCATAATCAAGCATTCGCAAAGTATACCAACTTTATGAATCAAAAGCAAAGTATCTCTTATGTTATTTCCAGCCAAAGTAGTAGTCAACAAAACAAATATAGGACAAGATTGACTGCAGTGCTAGATTGTACTAGATTCCTCTTGATGTAAGGATGGCATTTCGTGGTCACGATAAATCCAAAGAGTCTATCAATAGAGGAAATCTAATTGAGTTGCTAGATTGGTATGCAAATCGGTGTGAGGAAGTTAAACAAGTAGTATTCACCTTAAAATGACCAAATGACTTCACCAAAGATCCAAAAAGACTTGAATAATTATTATGCCGTAGAGACAACAAGGTCTATTATCAATGAGATGGGTGATTGCTTGTTTTCAATCTTGGTTGATGAGGCTCGTGATAATTTTATAAAAGAACAAATGGCAGTTGTTTTGAGGTTTGTTGACCAAAGTGGGCTCGTGAAGGAACGTTTTTTGGGCATTACCCATGTCACTGATACTTGTGCCCAATCACTGAAGGATGTCATTGATGCGATGTTTTCTACACATAGGTTGAGCATATCTCGCTTGAAAGGTCAAGGTTACGATGGAGCAAGCAATATGTCAGGTGAGTTCAATGGTTTGAAAGCTTTAATTTTAAGAGAGAACCCCTATGCTATGTATGTCTATTGCTTTACTCACCAACTTCAGCTGGCAGTTGTTTCTGTGGCATGTAAGAATAATATGCTTGGTGATTTGTTTAACATGCTTGCTATTATTGTAAATTTGACNTGTAAGCGTGTAGATGCTCTTCGAAAAAGTTACCATGCCGAGATTTGGAGAAGCTTAATATTGGGGAACTTTGTGGTGGAAGTGGTAAGTTTCAAGAAATGAGTTTGGCACGCCTAGGTAATACAAGATGGGGCTCATACGTACTGACAATTACTCATGTGATTAATATGTTTAATACTATCATAGATGTACTTGAGGATATATCAGAAGATGGCGTGAATTTAGATCATAAATCAATGGCAGCAAGACAAATGGATACTATGCAGGAATTTGACTTTGTGTTCAGTCTCGACTTCATGTTTCAAATTCTTGCAATTACAGAAGACCTTTCACAAGCCTTACAGAAAAAGAATCAGGATATTGAGAATGCTATAAGGTTATTGAATGTGTGTAAAGGTGCATTGCAGGACATGAGAGACAATGGCTGGGATAATTTGTTTGGTAGGGTGATTGAGTTTTGTATTGTTAGACATATTTTAGTTCCCAATATGGAACATATTGTGGTATTGAAAGGTCGACCTAGGCGTGGAACTCAGCAGGTGACTTATTAGCATCGCTTTTATTTTGATTTGTATTGTCATGTGATAGACTCATTCTTGCAAGAGTTGAATGATCGTTTTTCCGAGACAACTATTGAGCTCCTAACTTGCATTTCGTGTTTAAATCCAAGATATTCCTTTGCAGCATTTGATATGGATAAATTGATACGTCTTGCTAGTTGTATCTTAGGACTTCAATAATGAAGAGCTTTTATTACTTCGACCTCAACTTGACAAGTTCCTTATGTTTGTGAGAATGAATGAAGCTTTCTTGAACCTCAATAGCATTTCTTGTGTGCTCAGAAGTTGGTTGAAACAAGAAGCTCTTGTTATTTTTCATTGATTTATAGGCTGACCACCTTGTTTTTTATTTTACCTGTGGCAACTGTAAGTATTAAAAGAGTATTNTTACATATATATTGAATAATTTTTAGTATTATATAATTAAATATTAATAAATGACATCGCTCTTACGATCGCTGATTGTCGACGTTGACTTGCTAATGTCCGCCTGGCCTGAGATTAGATGATGGGTCTGGCACTGATCTTGGGTAAAGTTTTTGACTAAGACTAACTCTATTCTATGAGGAAAATTTTGATAACATGATCTTTTCCATTTTCTACATTTGTTCCTCGTTCTTTTTTCTTTCCCTTCTTGCCCTGCAGCCTAATTTTGGATTGCTTTTACAATTGTAGTTTTTTTTCTTGCTCTGGATCTTCTAGGTATATTATGTTGATTTGGCTGACATTTACCCTGTAGATCTGACTTTCTTGGGTATACATGAAAGTAGATCCTTAAAAAAAATTACAGTGCATTGTCCAAGTAGTCAGCTAAACCCACATTTAGGCCCTGTTTGGAAGGGATTAAATTTTTCTACAGTAAATCAATTCTCATTTTCAACCACACATTTTTCAATAAAATAATATTTTCCATCACATCAATAATTTTTTCTTCTTTTTCAACCACATATTTTCCTTCATATCACTAATTTCTACAGTAAATCAATTCTCATTTTCAACCATACATTTTTCAATAAAATAATATTTTTCATCACATCAATAATTTTTTCTTCTTTTTCAACCACACATTTCCCATCATATTACTATTCAAAATCAATTATTCTCCCAAAAATCTCTCCCAAACAAGCTCTTATGTTCTCCCATGATATTTCTAAAAGGATATATATTATTGATTGATAATGCCTCTATTTAAAGAGGTTTACGGAAGTAAAAAACTAAGAAAGGATCATAACAAATACTAGAAAATAAGGATATTCAAATACAAATTTAAATAACTTAATCTAGATCATGTCCCTAGAAAATAGGAGACAAGATATTAGAATAATAGGAATATAAAAATAGTGTTCTTCAACACTCTCCCTCATACTGGAGAGAAAATATTGATCATTCATAGCTTAGGAAATATGTTATACAAATCTCTCCATTCTCTATCTTTTCTTTGAGGAATTGTTTGTCAATCTCATACATGTTTGGTGTCGTAATGAACTGGATTATGAGCCATACTTATGGTTGCTTTATTATCACAAAAAAGCTGCATAGGTCTTAAGTAAGGCTGTTGGAGCTCATCCAAGAGTCTTCTAATCTAGATAAGTTCACTAGAACAATGTGCTAAAGCTTTGAGTTCTACTTCTCCAATATTTTTAGCTACTACACTTTATTTCTTGCTTCTCTGAGTCACCAAATTTTCCCACGTAAATGTACAGTATCCGGATGTAGACCTCGTATCGTCAATAGAGCCAACCCAATCAGATCGATATAGGCCTCAATGCATCTATCTTTGTTCTTGCCAAAATATAATCCCATTCCAAGGTTCCCCTTCAAATATATTAAAATCTCGTAAATTGCCTCTAGCTTTCCCAACATCTTTAGCCCATGTTTGGCCCTCATTAAATTATAATTCATTTGTCTCTTTCTTCTTAACTACCACACATTCTCCAATAAAATAATATTACACGGAATCCCAAAAATTTTCTTTTTAACCATATTTTCTACAAAAAAAAAAAAACACTATTAATAGAGGCCAAACGGGAGCTTACTCAACTTGCAGTTCAACTAAACTGGCATGTCAACGGTTTACATCCCAATATACATGTCTCCTTGAGTAAGTCTAACGTGTATTTTCTTTGAGAGATCAAAATTTCATCTTTACTTCTGGCTACTTCTATCCCCAAAAAATATCGAAGAT